GTGATCCAATTACTTATTAAATTCATAAGAAAGAATATCTTCTTGACTCAATTCATAACAGAACACTTTTCTCAATACACATATCTATTCTTCAATATGGCAACAATATCTAATAGTGGCACAACAAAACAAAAACCACGATTAGATCTTAATGGACACTCATATGTAATGGACAGATCAACAAGTGTAAAAACTTATTGGCGTTGTATAAAATTTTATTCACATCATTGCCGATCTCGTCTTCATACATGCATTATTACAAACAATATTGTTAAATCACCAACAGATCATACATGTACATTTGATGGTACAACACTTGAATGTCGTAAATTTGATGACCAAATCATTTCTCGTACACTTAATACTCAAGAACCACCTGATACTATTATTACACATTGTTATAAAGGTAGAATTGCTCGATTTTTAACAGTAACTTTTGATAACATATAGATTTTTATTTTTAGGACTGTCTGATCCAGCATTAACTCGTTTACCAACACGTGATAATATTAAACGAAGAATTAGAAAGTTGCGGCAAGAAAATGCTATTATTCAAGCACCAAATGATCCAAATTTTACAACTGTTCCTGCTCAATTAATTAAAACTATTCGTGAAGATCAGTTTTTACGTTGTGACACAGGACCTGGTAAGTTGCTGAATATATTTAATTGTGTTGATAAAGTATTTTCTTTTGTGAACTGTGGCAGGTGATGATAGAATATTAATATTTTCCAGCGACGAACAAATTAATATTCTCCAGACAACACAAGATTTTTTAGTAGATGGAACGTTTAAAGTTGTTCCCGAAATATTCTATCAACTTTATATTATTTATTCTATTTATCGTCAACATGTAATTCCTGTGGTTTATGCATTACTTCGTCGAAAAGATGCTGATACATACAAACGTTTAATTAACGAAATTCTTAAATTTGCACCACATTGGCTTCCACAAACGATAATGTTAGACTTCGAACAAGCCTGTGTTAAAGTTTATCAAACAAGTTTTCCAAATGTTGCATTATCAGGCTGTTATTTTCATCTAAGACAGAGTGTGCATCGTAAAATACAGGTAAAAGAAAATTCATAATAATGAGCCACATATACATATTAATCCAATATTTTTTTGAATTTAGGCACTCGGACATCAAACAAAATATCAAGATGATTCCTTATTTGCACACAATATTCATAAGATAGTAGCATTAACATTTTTATAATTAAATCAAGTGATCAATGGATTTGAAGCATTATCAATGGAACTAGGAGATGATTATGAATTAATTCTTGATTATTTCGAAGAAACGTATATCGGTAAGTTGTTTTTTCGTCAATTTAGTGTCATCAGGTTTTGTTGTTTCAGGTTGTATTCGACGAAATAACATTAGAAGAAAACCATTATTTAGCATTGCTTTTTGGAATATGTATAACAGAACCACTCAAGCATCTATTCGCACCAATAATAGTGCTGAAGCTTATCATCGTCGTATTGGTTCAGTTTTTCAATGTGCACACCCAACGTTATGGGTTTTTCTACAAAAATTACTTGATGAAGAACATGCAGTTCATGCTAATATATTACAAATTAAAGCTGGACAACCACAAAAACAAAACAAAAATATACGTTTTGAACAACGTTTATTAAATGTTATATCAAACCCACATGCAGATATTTTGGCACAAATCAATGCAATTGCTTACAATATTTCATTGTAATTCTATTTGTGCTTTTTGTATGTTGTTGTTTAATTATGTCTAAATTTGTGTTTCTAAATATTCGAGAAATTATATATAGTCTAATTTTTCTACGTGCTGAAAAATCATTGTGCTGATTATTCCTTGTGCTGAACATTCCCGTGCTTAACATTCCGTGCTTAACATTCCGTGCTTAACATTCATCAATCCGTAGCCGAGACAGCTGTTGAAAGTGCCTTCCCAGTTTCTGTGAGGATCAGAAACGATCCTAAGGAAAAGACTTCATCCAAATGTCGATTTTTGACGAGGAATATGTGTATAGGCAAGAAATGCTTCCAAAAGTGGCAGTAGAAACCAATATCTTCTGTCATAGGCAGAAGGGACCGTTGAGTTCGGTTTTAACATGATCAATGATATAAAGCTGCGTACTATTGCTTGTAAAGCCAGTATATTTTACCTATCCTATGCAAAGATTGGTAGAAAAATAAAAATAGAGCCGCGATATTATGCACATTTTTCCAACCATCGATCAACTCGCTCTCTCTTACTCTCTTTCTTCATTATTCAAGCTGTCTGATCGATAAGTGATAGAACAAGCAAAAGAATGATAACATTTTTGTGAAAAAATCCATTGTGTATCAATAATATATGATCATGCTGCATCCCACGTACACGGTTGGCTGCACGCAAGCCAAACATATTTTTGATGTATACATAAGCAAAATGATGCTTTCATTTTCTTTACTAAACAAAGTCGATACATTACATTATCAACGTATTACATTCGTCTTTACAATATACATCGCATTAATACAACAAGCAGACGTAAGTATTTTGATATTGCAGTATCTCTCGTAAGCTCTTTTAGTCTATCAGTGTTCAGAAGATTTTTCTATCCTTAAATGATACCAGTAATTAAGTATAGTTTATGTGAGCTTTAGATTGTGTCTAAACATATGAAAAGAAGAAAATGACAGTAAATATTAGCAAATTTTGCCAATATTATGAAAATAGTGATGAAATTAGTGACTTTTTTCTCGTTAACACAGATCGTTTGCGGCTATTCATGAACTTAATGAAAAGGATAGCAATTAATATGTTACTGAAATCTGTTCTGATTATTCGATAGTTATAAGAAAACCTTGATGATTTGAACCGGTGCTCTATGATTCGAGGAGACACCAGAGCTATTTGTTGTGCATAGGTAACTATTAGAATGTCTTGAAAAATTGCGACGACAAGCAGATTAGCAACACCTCAACAATACTCTTCACAACTCTAAATGATCGAAGTGATTCGCGCCTTGAAGCCTTATGTATTTGTTATAAAGATACCATTGCGATTCCACTATGAGGTGCTTCCCATGTCAAATCTTCGTATTTCGATAGTTTTTAAAAGCATAATAAAAGTCATGTATGTTCAAAGAGAGACAACACTGTCTTTTGAAACGATAGAGGAAATGGATAAAAATCGGCTAGATATTCTAAAAGTTTTCCAATAGAACTGATGTTGAAAGCGTATTTCTCCCACTTCCTTCATATAGTTATATCTATGCTCTGAGAGAATCTATACACAGATGGAGCAGGGTCTTAAACTGGGATATGCCAATAAATTGTTTATTATTATTATTACAAAAAACCAATTTTTTAACCTTGTGTATGTTTGGAGGATCTTCAACTTGTGAAATTTCCAGTTGCGACAACTCGAAGAAAGTAATAAAAATTTGCTGTATAAAAATGACGTCATTTCTTTTATGTTAAATAACAACAAACAAACTGTTTGCATAAGTGCACTCATGTAAAATGAACGACTAGTGGTTCATATTGCAACCATTCTGCAGATTTCTCTCATGACAAATAAGTTTAAAAGCTAGATTTTTTTGAGAATGCTCACTAATATTTCTTTAATGAGAGATTTCAATAAAACTCTGATTTTTCAGTTACAGAATGAAATTGAAGAAATCAGAAATAGTTCACAATGATGCTTTCGTTTAGAAATTGCCATCGACAACACTCGTGCTACATATCAAATAAGCTTTCAAATTAAGCCGAATTTGAGATTAGGTGAAGTCTAAACAAAAAAAGGATGGCGTTATGGAGAAATAGGATGAAACATAACAGTGACTAGCCATGAGTAGTGTCTCGAAGGATTTCCGACGAACGACTAGCCAGTGTATTAAAAAACCTCTTGAAGACACACTTCAGGCTGTTTGTATTCAATAAACAAAAATCAACAGTCTAGACCTAATGGTTTTGAGTAAGAACTAGCAGTTGGTAAGAACTGATAAATATGTTGAAATAAAGTGTAACAACGCTTTTTATCCACGTGCACAATATTTTAATACTACATTTGGCGGAAAACATCAGTCAAAGGTTTTATATTCATGATATCAGAAGTAGATATAAATGAAATAAACGGGAATTTTTCTGCTGGTATGTGTTCTTGTCTGTGCTCATTCAAATGTCGAAATGTATACAGATATATTCAAATTACCTATCTAATCTGACGGTTACTTTTAGTAGGAGCTTCTTTCAAGTATGGCAGTTCGATTGAAGACTAGATCTAGTATGATTAATTTTAAGCTAGGAGTTCAATTAAACCCGTATTTTTGTAGCGCATACCCCAGTAAAAAATATTGTCGGCCGATGTTTTGGTAAGCCAACAGTTTTCTACTATCGGAATTTTAAAAGAAGGCACCTGGAAAAGAAGCTTATAACTTTCGAACGAAAAGTCATAACGACCTGCGGTTTTCAGCAATCGATAGAAGATTATAGGGGGCACATTTTTATATAAAAATCAAGATTTAAATTATCAGTGATTATGCAATCACTGAAAGAACAGGCTCGTTATTTGGTGCAATCTCAGCAGAACAAGCTGAAACTTTCAGCATATATAGTCCCACTATACTCCAATCTTCGCTGAAAATATCATCGATAAATCTTGTAATGACGAGGAATGGTGAGCCAATCATCATCTGGTTTTACATAAGGCACTCATTCAATCAAAATATTAGGAAATGGCCTCAACTTTTGGCTGAATAAATACCATAATCTAGACTTCATATCTATGCAA